GATGTAGAGAAAGAGAGAGAAAGAAAAAAAGCCACCAGGTCTGGGACTTGAACTGCGGTTGATCATGTGGGAATCCAGTGTCTTTAACAACCACAGCACCTACTGGCCCTATGGGAATCAAATTTTAAATTATATTTTCACTTTTATTCAGTTCAAAATATTTTGACATTGCTCTTAACTTCTTTTTCACCTATGTTTTATTTAGAAGTCTGCTGTTTAGTCTCTGAATACTTTGAGATTTTTCAGTTCTCTTTCTGTTATTGATTTTTAGTTTATTCCATTGTGGCCTGGGATCACACTTTGATGGTTTCTGTTATTTTAAATTTGTTGAAGCATGTCCTACTACCCAGAATGTGGACTAACTTGGTGAATATTATATGTGTACTTGAAAAGAATCTTGCTGTTCTTGGATGAAATAGTCTACATATGTCAATTAGATCCAGTTGACTGATGGTGCTGCTCAGTTCAACTGGATCCCTCTCACTTTTCTGCCTGCTGTAACTGTCCATTCCTATAGAGGGAGAAGTCCCCAATGATGATAGATTTTTCTATTTCTCCTTGCAGGCCTCTCAATTTTTGCCTCATGAATTTTGGTGCTTTGTTGTTAGGCACATACATGTTAAGGATTTTTATGTCTTCTTGGAAAATTGACTTTTTTATCCTTATGCAGTGTTTCTTTTTATCCTTGATCATTTTCCTTGTTCTGAAATTAATTTAACTACTCATGCTTGCTTCAGCAGCACATATACTAAAGTTGAAACTAATTTTACGACGCCAGGGTTCTTTTGGTTGATGTTAGCACAGTGTGTCTTTCCTATCCCAATTCTTTTCTATTGAGTCTTTTTATTTAAGCTGGGGTCTTCTGTAGATCATACATAGTTTGGTCTTTTTTTAAAAAACCCGCTCAGTTTCTGTTTTTAATTGGTGTATTCAGATCATCAATATTTAAAGTGATTGTTGATATAGCTGAATGAATATCAACCATATTTGTTATTCTTTTCTATTTGTCACCCTTGTTCTTTTTTTTAACTTTTTCTACCATTTCTAGTTTTAATAGAGCAATTTATATTTTCTGTCTTAGACTAAAAATAGCACTTAAAAAATTTCAAGTGGGACCAGCAGTTAGCATAATGGCTATGTTGCTGGACTCCCATGTAGTCGACCGCGGTTCAAGTCCTGGATCCAGTGGCTTAAAACTCACGCTGGGCACTTGTGCGTGCGTGCCCAAGATCCTGAGAGGAGAATGGAGGAGAGGGGATTGTGGTGTGGCCATCCCCCCTGGGGGGGTGATATCTCGCTTTCTGTCTCTCTGTCTCTTTGGTGAGCACACACGCCCTACAGCAAAAACCTCTAAAAAAAAAAATTTGAAGTGGTTGCTCTACCGTTTGCAATATCCATATACATTTACAATAAATCCAAGCTCACTCTTAAATAACACTGTATCACTTCATGAGTAGAGCAGATAGCTTAGAGTAGTCCCAGTTCCCTTCTCCTGTCCCCTCTATCATTGCTATCATTCATTATCACTTGCCAATAAGCTATAGTAACCAAATATATTGCTGCTATTACTACTTTGAACAAACTGTCACCAGAGCAATTAAAAATTAGAAAAGTAAAATATTTTGTTAGTCTCATTTATACCTCTTTAACACTTTCTTTATGTTGATCCAAGTTTTCAATCCAAGTTTTTTTTTCAAAATAATTTTTTGTTTGTTTTTGTTTTTAATTTACTGTAGGGTACATACAGTGTCCAAAGACAGAAAAAGAGAAAGAAAAGGTGAGAAAGCACCCCCCTGGGGGAATATTCGTGACATAATCCCTTCTCCTCCATCCTCCTTTGGGGATTTTAGCATGCATGCACAAGTGTCCAGTGTGTTTTTCAAGCCACCAGCTCTGGGACTTGAACAGTGCAATTGGCCATGTGGTATCCACTCCACCTTAACTACTGATCTGAGAACTTCTTTTAAAAGCAGTTTATTTATTTCTTCCATGAGAAAGACAGACAGATTGGTACTCCCGATAGGGTCCCCATGCTGTAGTCCACCCCCATCCCCACTGGTCCAGTTCATGGGAAGCACACATGCTTTCAGGGAGGTTCCAGGATATGAACCCAGGACCTTCCTCACATGGGTCCACTTGCATTACCACTGTGCCACTGACTCCTTTAAAGAATTTCTAACATTTCATTTGTGTAGGTCTACTGGCAACAAATACCTTCGATTTTTGTTCGCCTGAGGGAATCTTCATTTCTCCTTAACTTTTGAAGGACAATTTTAGCCAGAATTCTAAGTTAGTGGGAATTTTTCCCCCAAACAGTTTAAAATTTCACTCTACTCTCTTCTTGATGGTGTGGTTTCTGAAGATAAGTCTCATGGAACTCTTACCTTTTCTCCTCTGTAAATAAGGTGCTTTTTCTCCTCTGGTTTCTTTCAAGATTTTCTACAGTTTGTAATATGCCTGAGTATAGTTTTGCCTTGGTTTTTTGTTTTGTTTAGCATTTATCCTGATTGATATTCTCTGGGCTTCCTAGACCTATGGTTTGGTGTCTGTCATTCATTTTGGAAAGTTCTCATTCCTAATTATCTCAAACGTTTCTTCTTTTCTTTCTTCTCCTTTTATTCTTTCTGGTGTCCCTATTATATATGCTATAGCTTTTGTAATTCTTGGATTATTATTCTTGCATAAACTGTTATTTATTTTCATTCCTTTTTTTCCCCTTGATTTTCAATTTAGGAAGTTTCTGTGGATATATCTTCAAGCTCCCTGATTCTTTCCTCAGTCATGTGCAGTCCAATGATGTGCTTATCCAAAACACTCTTCATTTCTGTTAGCATTTGATTTCTAGCATTTTTTAAATTATTTCTTAATGCTTCCTTCTCTCTGTTTATATTACCTATTTATTCCTGCACTTTGTATACCTTTTCTATTAGAGCCCTTAGCATATTAACCATTATTTTAAATTCCTAATCTGATAAGTCTGAAATCTCTGCCACATCTGAATCCGATTCTGGTGTTTGGTTTGTCTCTGCAGACTGTATTTTTTGCCTTTTAGCATGGTTCATCTTTTTTTGTTGAATACTAGATATGATATATTGGGTAGAAGTAACTGAATGCACCTCTAATGTGGAGTTCTATATTTATCTTGTTGGAAATTAGGTTATATTTACTGTTTGCTGTAGCTGTTACTATCAGAGACTAAACACTTCCTCTGAGGTCATTGCTTACATCTCCTCTGTTGACTTTGAGTGTTCTAGAAACTCTCTTTTAAAAACTGTATTTATTCTTCCATGAGTAAGAGAGAAAGAGAGAGAGAGAGATGCAATACCCTCCTTCGGGTCTTGACTCAGTGGTTTACTCCACTTTCAACTGTCTCCAGATTATGGGCGAAACCATGCCCAGAGTACTCAGGAAAGCCGCTGGACATGAACCTGGAACCTTCATCTGCACGCTGTCTCCCAGAGCATTGCATTTTACTATTGTGCCACTGTTTGGCCCAGACTCCTTAAACAGACCAAGTTTTGCAGTTTTTTTTGTTGTAATACTTAGCATTTATACAGGAACCCTGTTTATGTTGTGTCCCTAGACTGTGATCTTCATAAATGCTTCTCAGCGTTTACTCACCACCCCCAACTTCTTAAATGAGACAGGAATTTAAAAGCAGCTTGAGTTAGGTATTTCTCTTCCTCCACATCAAAGGCTGAGGGATTAGTTCCCTTTTTCCACATTGGTTAGACTCTGATAAACCCCTGATAAACCCCTTTGGTGGGCATTGGTAAAATAGATTCCTTGAGGTCAAGTTTTTGCTAAAGACAACAGAAAGTTCTGAATGTTTTTTCAAAATGGTTAGTTTGTCACCCCTCTTGTTGGTTGTCTATTTAACAGATTGCTAAAAACTGCAATTTAAATAAAAGCCAAGTCCTTCCTTATGTATCTCATTTTATTTCTCCATAAACAAGCTCACATTTGTCTTTTACACAAAAAGTCTACCATCTTGCCAGTATTTTCTGAAAATAAAAGTATAGGTATATAGATATATAGTTATAACAAAAACTTTAAATATGACATCTTTATGGAAGAATATAGGCAGGATAATATTTTTTTAATTCAAGCATAATTTAGTGAACTATTAAGGGTGACAAAATTTACAATGGAGAAGATAATTTGTAATAGAGAAAATAAAGAAAATGAGAAAGAGAAAGAATTGCAGGTAAGAAATCAGGGCAGAAGGGTAACAACCCCCCCTGAGCTTAATAGTCTCTAATTACTCACCTATTATAAAATTTCATGGATCAGATAGGGAAGATTAAAATAAAAAAAGTTTCCATCTTGAGTAAGATTTTATTTTCAAGTAAAGATTGAAGAAGACAGAGAAAGGTTTCTTTAGGTAGTCCTAAAGAAAATAACCAAAATTATTGATTTATTGAAATTGTACTTTAGGAGAGTACATGAAGTAGAATAATATCCTGAAGAAGAGAACATTGAAGAGCAATTGCTCAACACCCTTCAAAGGTATGTACTTGTGTTAGAAAAGATCGTAAGCGCACTAAGACAGAGTGATAGTGTAGAAAACCTGGCCTAGAAACCAGGTGTTTCATAAACCTCATAACATAGGTAAACTTATCAATATTTACACTGTCTTGCTTGATAATATTGCAAAAGCATAATAAGAAGGTATTTGTTTAAAAAACACAGAGTAAATTGAGACATGCAAAGAAAAACTGTGGTACCAGCAAAGAGTCCACCACAGCTTGCTTTTCTAACCAAGGATGTTAAATACAAATATCACAGAACACAATATTTCTGGGAGCTGCCAGGTGGTGTGATGGTTAAGGGCACTGGACTCCCACATGGCTGACCACAGTTCAAGTCCTGGACCTGGCAACTTGCTTTCTCATTTTCCCTCCCCCCGCCACTCTGTCCCTCTCTGATCAAATTAAAACATAATAAATAAATAAAATAAAGTAAAATAATTATTTTTTAAAAAGAACACAATATTTCCGATAGCATGGTTGCTGTGATATAATTTGCCTGGTGGAAATAGCAGCTGAATTTATCTATTTTCCAAGGAAAATGCTGTTGCAGAGCAAAACACATGAATGACTCTTGGCATGAGACATACACGATGGCCTTCCATTTCTCCTCATCCTACTTCTTGTTCTTTTCTTTGTTTACCATTGCTCTTCAGAATCTCGAAAAAGAAAAAAGAAAAGAAAAATACATTTATTTTTATAATGTTATGGAAGTCTGTGCAGCATATCGTCTGTTTATTATAATACAAAATCTAATAAGAATATTAGCTGCTCATATCTAAGTAGAAAAGTTACAGTGATGTCTATTTTCTTCATTTTTTCTTCATTTTCCCAAATTTTCTGCAGTGATTACATACTATATAATAGTAAGCAAACACATTTAAAGGAACACAAAGGTATATCTGTTTTATTCCAGGCAGGAACTTTTTGGTTCTATTGTCATTTTGATATGTTGTTATAAATGGAGAGACAGTAAATAGAGGATTAAACACAGCAAACTGATTATTAAACAGGTTTGGAGGAAGAAATGATGAGGGGAAATTTTCATGCTACAAATGGGTACTTGTGAAGATGTTCAAAAATTTTTTTAAATCTAAAATAATACATGGGTGATGTAAAAAAGAAAAAAAAAGTTAAAAAATAATTACCAATATGTGTTTTGTTGTTATGCTAAACAACCAATTGACCTGTTGTTTCTCAGAACCTAATAAAGTGTTAATCTTTTATTTATATGGCCACATGTGACATGTGCTTACCACTGACAGCGTGATGGAGAGAGAGAGAAAGGGAGGAGAGACAGAGAGAGCACTCTCCAATCGAGGCATGGTCATGTGACAATGCCTTCTCTTCCATTTTTCCATCCTGTCAGGTATTTGGGTATGCATATACATGTGCCTGGTATGTTTTTGATCCCCCAAGGCTGGGATTTGAACCACAGTGAATCATGTGGAATCTGGCTGCCTTAACTACTGCACTACGCAGCTGGCCCCTAGTACATTTTATTTGATAGTTTAAATTAATATCTCGATATAAGCATACTCTTTTAACTAATTGGTTAGCAATTACAAATGTAAATATAGAACATTTATTGTTGATAATATTGCTGCTGTATCGCAGATGAGCCCTGTTTATTAATTCGATGACATACGGATGACTTTTTTTAAAAAAAGAATTATCCAGGGACCAGCAGTTGCTGTAATGGCTATGTCGCTGGACTCCAAGTCCCAGACTTGGTGGCTTAAACTCATGCCGGGCATGTATGCATGAATGCCCAAGATCCCAAAACAAGAATGGAGGAGAAGGGATTGTGGTGGGGCCATCCTCCCTCAGGGATGATTTCTCTCTTTCTATCTCTCTGTCTGTCTTTGTCTTTCTGGTGAGCACACGCCCCCTACAGCAAAAACTTCTTAAAAAAAAAAAAAAGAATTATCCATTCGATTTATTTATTTATTATTTTAATTTGTTATAGGGCACTTGTGCTCATCAGAAAAAGAGAGGGAACATGAATTCCAGAACTCAAACAGTGGTCTGCCAAATAGGAGTCCAGAATCTCAACCACCATGCCACCTACTGAGCTATTATTATTACCTCTTTTAACAGCAATACTTACTTCATTTAATGCAAAATATGTTACAATCAGACCAGTATTTTTCAACTAAAGAGAACTTTTTGCAAGTATCATTAACTCTAAGGTATATTTGCATTAATTAACACTTGACTTACACTGAAATGTGCTTAGGGATCGAGTGCCATCGCTCTTTCTTTTTATTTTGTTACTTTATGCATTGTTACCTAGAAACCTGCACAGATCTACCATTCTCCAAGTCAGCTATGGGAACCCAGAGGTCTAGAGAACACAAGGAAAGTTCAAGACTAATGGACTCAAGCAGAAAAATAGGTAAGACATTTATGGGACACAGAAATGGATGATTATCTGTTGATAATGGTATCTTCATCTTGACTGGTATAAACTGTATTCACGTTGGGTAAATTTGCTTTACAAGTAGTAACGATGTATAGTGATTGAATGTATAAAATTAATAAATTAAAAATAAAATTTTTAAAAAAGACTAATGGACTAGAATTTTCCAGTTAAAGGCCCATATGAATTCTATTTCACCACCACCTACATTTGCATTAAATATACTTTGAGATTAGGAAACTGAGTATCAGTATTCCATCCAAATGTTAGACAAATGGTATTTGGGCATAAGAACTGTGGTAGTATTTAAGGTTCTTCATGAATATTCCTGTTCTATATTTCTGGGCAAATGGTGATAATGTACTTTCCTTGAACTCACGGTGGTCAAGTAACTTGCTCTGCCAATAAAATAAGAGTGGAAGCAATCAATGTCATATTTTTCCGTGCTGTAATCTCCATCTGTATTACTAATGTCTGTATTACTAATGTCTCTTACTAGGTTTGAAAGAGAGGTGCCATTTACTTGGCCCTCTGAAATAATTGCAGTAAGAACTGCTTTGTCTATTTTCTTCTTTGTCTTCTCTGAAGAATAATTTTTTAAGATTAAGGCTGTAAATTTCCTTCTGAATCAGGTTTCACTGGGTCTCAATTTATGAAGAGAAATGTTCTTTTCATTGGATTTTACATAGTTTGTAAAAAGTATTTTTATTTCTTCTCTGATGTGTAAGTTGTATCTAAAAATAAGGTACTTAATTGCCAAAAATTATGTTTTTTGGAGTCATTTTTTTCAATTTATTTCTAATTTTATTAGACTATGATAAGATAATGTGACTGGTGACATATTTCCTTCTCCAAATGTATCAAAGTTTTCTTTGTAGTTGAGGACATAATCAGTTTTATAACTCTTCTACAGCTATGAGACAAGTTTATTCTCTAGCCAAGGGATATAAGGTATGTTCATACGCACATGCATTACCATTGCATCACATTTTTACTATACTATATAATTCTCTAAGTTGTGTTAATTTTGCTCAAACATGTATTAAACACTCACTATATTTTCTACTTTAAGAAAACTTCTTTGGGGCCAGCAGGTGGTATAGTGATTAAGGCACTGCACTCTCACATGGCCAGCTGCATTTCGACTCCTGGACCTGGCAGCTTGAAACTCATGCCAGTTGGTGTGCCTCTGTAACCAAAAGTTTGAGAGAATGAAGGAGACGTGATTGCAGCTTGCCATACCCATGGGGGGTGATTTCAAACTTTCTGTCTCTCTCTGTCTCCCCTACAAACACATGTGCCCTATAACAAAAATCTCTTAAAAGAAAAAGAAAAAGAAGACGTCTTTGTATATCTGATAGTATTTACTTTATGTGTTTAGTTATTATCTCATTTTATTCATACAGATTGATGTCTACATATTTTGTGGATCATATTTTTTCATTATAAATTTTTTAAAGCATTTATTTATTTTTAATTTTTGACATAGAGCAGAGAGAGAGACAGAGAAAGAAAAAGTGAGAAATCACCCACTGGAGGGTATGACCAAATTGCCAATCCTTTTTCTTCTATTCTCCTCTTGGGATTTTGGGCATGCACACACATGTGCACAGCATGATTTTCAAGCTATTTGGTCAGGGACTTAAATTGTTCAATTGGCCATATGGGACCCAGCAGCCTCAGCCTCCATCCCATTTTCATTATGAAATTATCCTTATATCTTTTTTAGTGTTTTTACTCTAATTCCACATTATCTGGTATTAATGTTGTCATATTTATTTTTGTTAGTTTGTCTAGTGTCTCATTTTCTACTCTCACATTTTTAATATTTCTATATTATTTTACTTTGGGTGTTTCCAATAAGATGCTCCCAACTAAGTTTATTTTTGAACCCAGTATGATATTCTCTGCCCATCAATGGAAGTAATCCAATTATATTTAGTGTAATGACATTGATTTTATTCTTTTATGTGCTATTTATTACTTTACATTGTTAATTCTTTTTTCTTGCTTTTTAATGGATTAATCAAATTATACTTTACTCATTTCTCCTTTGATTTGCATGGTATTTTAAAAAATGACATTAATATATACTTTCCCCTTCTTTGCCTCACACAAAGGAATATACTTCTCCACTATTTAAAAACAACATACCATAAAAAACCTCTATTTTTTTCCTATTCTCCCCAATGAGATTTTTAAAACACTTCATTTTTTCATTCCCTCCTCCTGTGTTTGAATGAGAGTTTTAACTTACCTTTTCATGCCTCTCCCTTCTCCTCACTAACTCTTAAATTTTGCTGAGATAGTTTAATACTCAGAAAATTTAATTTAATTTTAAACTATTATTAGATTTTTCCTTATTTTATGGCCTTTTGTTTCCAGGGTTCTTATTTAGCACTTACCTTTCACGGTCTGTTCTTATCAATTTGGATTTCAACTGAATAGGTATTAGTGATTTAATATGTAGGATTTTTTATTTTATTTTGTTTTTGCCAGAGAGTTGGTACACCCACCAGAAAAAGAGAGCGAGGGAAGGAGGAGAAAACCTCTGCAATGTGGTGTGGTCACAACATAATCCCTTCTCCTCCATTTCTCCATCCTATCAGGATTTAGTTTCCTCAGACGCTATTCCACTGTTTTAGCTCTCAGTATTCAAAGTCAGCATAAATTTCTTTATGTCTAGCTTATTGTTTTTGACAGAAAGCCTTGACATTAATCCTTAGAATTTGGAGACTTTCTAGGATACATTTAAGTGTATGTCTTTCTCATTAACCTGGCTAGGAATTTGGTAAATATTTTAATCTAAAGGTTTGGACCTTTGCCTTAGTGACACTTTCTTTCTCTACTGCGTATGACATTAACTCCTCTACAGATTTGCATCACTACTGGAGCTCCTATTTTTCATGTTTAGTTTTCTGGAGATATTGTTCATTTTTCCCCTCATTTTCTCTAATGATTTCCATCTCATTATCTTTTTGCTTTGTACTTTAAGATGCATTGTGCGTTCAATTGTATCCTCCAGAAACATATATTGAAGTCTTAACCCCCAGTTCCTATCAATGTGACCTTATTTGGAAATGGGTTTTTTACCATGTAAATAAGTCAAGATGAGGTGAGCCCTGAACCCAATGACTGGTATCTTTACTGGGAGAGAGAAATTTTGAGCCATAGATTTCCAAATGGAAAGAAAGAAATTTGATAACAGAGGCAGAGATTGGAGTGACACAGCTGCAA